TGGTAATCACATGCCTGAAATAGCTGAAATGATTGCGATGGAGGTAAAGAAACAACTGCATAAGGCAATAGAAGAGATGAGATCAGAAATAATCTCTCAGGCAAAAAATGAAATGACAATAATAATGAAGGAAATGCTCAAAAAGTCTGAAGAAATATATAAGAAAATAGAAGAACAAAGACAAGGGACAGAAGCATTCAATGAAAAATATAGAAGGGACTTAGAACGCATGAACCAGATTCATAGTGGAGTCAGCAGGCAGATCAGGGGCATCTGCAAGCTACGAGGCTCTCCTGGTAGACTGGGGCCTCCTCCACTGTTCACTCTTGTGCACAACTGCACCCCAGATCTAGCCAGGTTGGAGAGCACAGCAGCTGCCAGGACCATGCATTTTGAAACTTGTTTTGAGCATTGGGTCAGGTTTGTGAATGATGAAGAAACAAGGATGACCAAGAGGAATCCTCAAGGAGCTCTCAATCTCTGAATGGCTCATGCTAGCTCATTCAAAGTCACTTCACATTATCCCCTCAAAGGCAGAGCAAGAGTTTAAGAGTGTTAAGCCTCCTGAATTTATAACCCTTGATACATGCAAACATGCAAATAACACTGCTCCCTCCCAGGAAGCACCTTCACACATACAAGACATGCTGAAGTAAAACTAAAGGTCACTGACTCACTTTATGGCCTGGTGGAGCAGGTGTTCGCACAGTTTGGGGGCCCCCCTTCCCTGAGCCCTGTCCAGAGGGTCATGGAACTGTGAGGGTACAAATTCCTGTGATCCATATTGCAGTCCATGAGGGTGGAGTCCACACAAGCTGGATCTATATCCCTAATTGACTCCAGGGTGTCAACTTGGTCATGAGTCAAGAACAAATGCATAAAAGGACACGGTATGTAGAGTAATCCATGTCCTTATCCCAGATGTCAGGAGAAGCCTTCTTCCACTTCCTCTTCTTGTAGACCTCTTTCCTGAGTGCTGGCCTGCATCACCGGGGACTGGAGTCTATCTCATCAGAGTGCACAGGATGCCACAGGGAGGACTCCATGCCTTCACTTTGCTGTTCTCTCCTCTGTAAGAAGCACAGGGTCAGTGAGTCCTAACTGCAAGTCTGTACTTCATAGATACTTTGT